ACTGCTAGCTCCATTTCCTCTACTTTAGAATTAATGCCTGTTACGAGTGTTCAGCTTTTGCCTGATTAAAACGCGTAGATCTCGCCCACGGAATCATGTCTTTATCGTGTTATCATCAAGCTCTTTTAGTGCAACGTTTTATTTATAAGCACGCGTTCAGTGACATAGTCAGACTATTTAATTGCTGGTTTTCACGGATGTATTTTTCTTTTTCTTTCAATTGTCCAGCAGACACTTTCTTCTTTATTTCTGTTAATCATTGTACAAAAAGTAGAACGATTTTTTTTTTTAAATAATTCAATTCATACGTCTTGGTGTTCTTGAAAAATTCGATGAAAAATTGGTGCGGAGGATTTTGACGAAATTTCACTTGACGTGTGTTTTATGGAGGCGAGAAACGTGATCAAACGTGACCGTTGTGACAAGTTATAAATACACTTTTGGCTTGAAGTCTGAACATATTTTCACACGAAATAAGTTACCTAACTCGAGTGTATGATTCAGTGTTTGCATTATGAAATTTCAACACGTCAGACTACGAACTCTCTCACTTCCGTGTAGTTTACGCATCCAGAAATCAGCGGATGTTAAATGGCTGATGTCAAACAGTATTACGTTTAGCGTTTATTTTACGAGACCTAGCAGGTGTAATCATATTTATGCCTGCCTTATAATAAATATTGAAGAGAGAAACTCTTTGTGATTAGCTAAATTTTAAAAAATTTTCAGATAAGATTTTCATATTATTTTTAAACGGGATAATAATAATAAAAAGACAAAGTTTCGCCTGTACTGACAATCACACTTTACTTCGAAAGCGACGAAGCAATTGGAGCGGTATTAAATTTCGTCAAAATTGCTTATTTCAAAAGCAATAAAGATTTAATCCTTATCACTCCAAGTGTCCGCCTTATTTCTATCAAATATTACAATCAAAATTATTTTACTTTTGATACGAATAAAGAAAAGTGTCACATTTAAAATCTGGCGTGCAAGCAGGATTAATAAAAATTGCAAGATAATTGTTCTCTGCGCGCTAAAATCGACATTCACTTAGGACTCGCTTACGAATTTTTGTAACAATATTAATTAGCAAAACGAAACCAGCAAACAGCGAAACCAAAAGTCTGAATATGTCATTCCGCAAGCTTTACCGCGTCCAGCCGCTCTACGGACCGATTCCAGAGCCGACTACACGGCACTTCGATCCTCTCTGTTCCCCCATCGAATCCGTGATCCTTGTGCGTGGCGTGCATGCGTTGCGCGGGTACAAGAAACGAAGAGAAGAAAAAATAAAAAGAAAAATGCTCTCACACACGTCACTCTCTACTCTTCCCTCATAAAACGTCTTTTTTTTCCGCAATCGACACAAGAGAAACATCAATTCGGTGTGTACAATCAGTACGTCACAAAAAAAAAAAAAAAAAATACGGTCGTGTCTTAACGTGTATAGTCAATATAGTGTTCTCCATACTTCAGAAAACACTTCTACTCGCGGTCTCAGAACTACTATGATCTAATTAAAAACAAAAAATACCCTTTTTTCTATAACGAACGGACGTTTAATGGGGACCATATACTAACGACGTCGGTTTTGCAGATACAAGTGCGAGAAAAATGAGGTACCAATTACCGTCACGAACGGCTCGACGTTACCGCTCGTGGAACGACCGAACGACGAGGAAGCGGCCCTTTACAATCCGTTCGAGCACAGGAAGTTGGCCCATCCAACGTCTGACCTGGACACGCTGATACATCTGTTGAAAGGAAGCCTGGGAACTGGTATTCTAGCGATGCCAATGGCCTTTCGTAACGCCGGCCTGCTCTTTGGTCTGTTCGCCACGTTCTTCATTGGAGCTGTTTGCACCTATTGTGTGCATATACTGGTGAAATGCGCGCATAATCTGTGCAGGCGGACACAGACGCCAAGTTTGGGCTTCGCTGATGTCGCGGAAGCTGCCTTCTTGGTCGGTCCTGAGCCTGTGCAGAAGTATGCTCGCCTGGCAAAGTGAGTTTCTTTCTGGTTTTCTCTTTTTTTTTTTTTTAAACTTGCAATACCCCTTAACTCTTTGGGGCACAGTACTTACATACGCACAGTGGGATGTTTTTCATCCCACCTTGAAACATTAAGGAAACAAAACCTGTTTTCACAAGTTTCACGATGAGATTATTTATGTCCCGCCTAATAATTAATTATCTCAACATTTTTTTTTTGTAAGTTTTAGTTGCTTTATGTCGTAATTCATACCTGCTTTGTTACATTTTTTTTAAATGAAACTCCTGTGCAGCTAGAGTCTGTTTTTGTCTTAAAATTGTGTGCTTCAAAGAGTTAAGGGACGAAGAATAAAGGAAATTCTTTTTTCAAAATATTAGTTACCTCTCCATTACACTGTACACATTTCGTACAACGTTTCTCAATTATTTTCATTACCGAGTTAAGGTGATCTCTGACTACCTCCACGTACCCCGATATCTTAGCCACCACTTAGCCCACGCGATTTAAGTCACCTGGACTTAAAAGTATCTCGATGAACTAATCATTTCTCTTTTTTACGTAGGACGACGAGAGATTTTCGTTTAAAAATATAATGCAATTAAATAAAAACAAAACATGGTCCTGCGGATGTGGCGCTCTTTGAACCATCCACCTTCCTCCTTTGACATTTTTCTGTAACTGTACTGGTAACGGGGTTGCGTGGACCACCCTGTACACAACTTCTAACTGATTCTGTCTCCTAGATAGACTTGCCGACCAGTCTTACTCTATTTATTTATTTCCTCCTTTCACGATCAACCGTCACACTTAGTATTAATATTAACACGTGGACTGCCACGTTGGTCGCCTCAAATAAAACGAGTATCGTCGACTAAACATTTCGAACGTCATAGCTAACTAGACGTTATTTCGAATTGAAAAAAAAAAAAATAATATTATACTTAGAATAATGAAAATTCAGTGACCGGAGGGCCTCAAATGTTTAGAATAATTAAGATAAAATGAACTAGACATTATTTTGAAAATTTTCTCGTGCAAGACTTTCCCTGAGCAAAACTTTTAAATCTAGCGTGCCAGTCAGCGTGTTAAAGAAAATATTTATACCGAAGCGAACGAACGAAGTAACCAATTTTCATTTGTATTTTTTTTTTGTTTTTTCGTTTCTTTTAGAGCGACGATCAATTCGTTCCTAGTGATCGATCTGATTGGTTGCTGCTGCGTGTACATCGTGTTCATCTCGACCAACATCAAAGGGGTGGTCGATTATTACACGGAGACTGACCGTGATGTCCGGTATTTCATGGCGGCGCTACTGCCACTGTTGATAATCTTCTCCCTCGTGAGGAACCTGAAATACCTGGCGCCGTTCTCTATGGTCGCGAACGTGTTAATCGCCACTGGAATGGGTATCACGTTCTACTACATTTTCAGCGATCTGCCCAGTATTAGCGATTTGCCAAACTTCTCCAGCTGGTCTAAGTTACCTTTGTTCTTCGGCACTGCGATCTTTGCCCTCGAAGGCATCGGCGTAGTAAGTACAATCTCGATTGAATACAATCGGTGCAGTGGTTGAAATATGAAGCGAGTTGTGAATTCGACGGAAGAACGCGTTTCGAGCTCTTTGGAACGTGGTAAAATTTGAGGGAAATGTCGGAAGAACGTGGAAAATTTTTACTTCCACGTTTAATAATTTCAGTGACATGATTTATGGCAATTGAAGATGCTAGGAGAGATAATTGAAGAAATCTATTTCGTGCTGGAATATTGCGAATTTTTCGTTCACATTTCAATACTATGGCAATTCATAATTTAAAACATTTTTCAGTATTCTATGAAATATTTCATTTTCGAACTGTGTTTTTGTTGATTCTATTATACGAAATTTTTTGAACCAACAGTTTATTTAGTAAATTGAACAGAAGCTACGAATTACTATTCCTAATATTAATAATTTTTAAAATAATTTCCAAAATTGTATTTCCAATGTTAAGAAATAATGCTTGCACAAATTAGTATTTATGAGAAGCAACAATTTTTCATTTCAACAGTGTCGCTTATCTTTCGCGTATTATAACATAAATAGGCAATTATTATCGAAGGTCTACTTCCCTACTATCGAACTTTGAAATATTCACAGCCACCACTGTACGCGTGGATTTCAACAATCTTATCTCGAAACCTACGTACGGAAAAATTGCTCTTCTTTTGCATATTTTAAATAAAAAAGACCGAGGTCGTTTCCTAGAATTACTCCATTGTATTCAAGTGTAATAATTTATCTACTCGATGATACATCGTAATTCCAAGTAATCTCGAATTATAATACACGTGCCTTCAGGAACTTTTACTCGAAAAAATAATGATATTCCAAGGTCGTACAATTATCTTTTTATGTTTCGTCAAATTTACATCTCGCTTTCTATTTTTTACCCCACGAACTGTACACGTTCGACGCTCAATATTATGCACTATATAAACGCTCGTGAGTTTAATCGCGATGTAATTCAATTCGATGAAATTACAGTTCCGTTTATCAAATGCAAAGTTAGGAATGAGCCGTTCGCAGGCCAAGGTGTGTGAACTCCACTTTTTGAATTTTAGCGCCAAAGCACTCGATCGACACTCGTCTTTTTACATTTAGAGTAAATTTCTCTAATAATTAGGCCTAACACCGCTAAACGACAAAAATTTTTATAGCCGTTGAGCGATAAATAATTACTCTATAAGTAACTTTAAACTAAATCGTTGTAATAATGTAATTGAAACGCTTATCAGAATTTAACTAAGTAATTTTTTAATACAACGGAGGTAAAAACAATTAATATTTACATTTGATACGTATACTTTTTGTTTCGAATTCAAAGGAGTGAAAGCCTATCGTTCTCGTTTAATTCATTTTTCTTCTTTTTTCGCGTGTAGTTCGCTGCATTTGAACGAATGCGATTAAACTTTTGAGCGATAGTGTAGTTGGTTCATCCATTTTATAGAAGTCGAGTATATCGTTGATATTCCGTTCGATGCGCGATCGTAGCAGTCGAATCGCGTTTAGTATTTCGATCATGCGATAAGCGGTTACGAGAGACTGCCGGCTAGACGTCGGATCGAAAATTCCGATGAACGAACGCGCGGTGAAATTTACTCTTTGGTATTGCGCGTTTCTTTAACAGCCTTGAAACATCGCAATTTCTTTTTTCTTAAGATCAGTTGCAAATTCGATGGTTTTCTTTGGAACGTATTGCGGTTTTCCTTTGTTTGGTGCTTACTCTCGTAACTTACTTACTCTCAAGATTACTCTCGTAACAGAAATTCTGTTTAACCAGAAACACGAATTTAGAGTTCCTGATCAAATTCAATTTTTCGCCTAATTTCCTTTTTAAATTTAGAAAAATAACAGTTGTCAATTTGCAAAATTTTTGAAATACTTCAAGAGTGTTCTAATTTTTCTGTTTTAAATTGCAAAGCAATAAGTTGAGTTATTATTAGTGTATTTTTTTTTTTAAAGAAATCTTGCAGTTTTGCTTTCTTTGCTATTCGATTGGTCCTACGCGTTATAGTACAGGATTTTACTCTCATAACAGAATTTACGTTTAACGAATTTAGAGTTCTCCATAAAGTTCAATTTTTCACCTAATTTAATTTTTAATTTAGAAAAGAAATTGCCAATTTGCAAGCTTGAAATACTTTAAGTTGTTTCATTTTTCTTTTTCAAATTGCGAAGTAATAAATCAGCTATCGCTAATTTTTCTTTTCTTAATTGCACGTAAGTGCAGCCATTATTTTTCATAGATTACAGTTTAACAGAAAAAATTTTGCCGCGTTGCGAAGAATGTTGAAGTTGCTTAGAAAGTATGACAATAATGGCAATATTTCAAATACCTCTTATCGTCTTAACCTGGTAGCTGTACTGTAAAAACTGAACGTAACAGACGCAAGCTATTGCATAAGCACACGTAACAAGAAACAAGACGTGGAAATCCTTTTGTTGGATTTATCGTCACACGTAATGGGATTACTTGTGGCAGCAAGAAAAAAGTGTAACGTTGAAGCTTACGTTTAAATCTGGCTATGTGAGTTTCTTTCAAACGATGTGAATTGTTTCAGTTAATAGGGCGAGAAAATCAACAATGTAGCCATCGTTATCGTGGCTGTACAATTCCATCGTGTTACGTAACAAATCCACACGGTATAATCGATAAAACTATCTCAGGATACACTTTTTAAATGCATCAGCTAAAGCAAGTATGAATTATAAAATTTAAACATCAAACTTTCGAAGAGATTTCGTGCTTTGAAGTATGAAACAGTTTGCCAAATTTTCCAATTTTTAAACTTGCAAATTATAAAATATCGAAGCTACCAAATTTTCAAATATTGAACTTTCGAAGGATTCTCTAGTTCTGAAGTTTCCATTCGGTTTTCACGCACGTTTACACATTCTGAAATCTTAAAGAGGGTTTTTAGATTTTCGAGATCCAAAATTTGTCAAGGCTTTTGCCAAGTTTTAAGTGCCAATATTTCAAAAGATCGTTTTCAAGTACTAAAGATTTGATCTTCTCAACAGTTGAGGGGCCTTTCGCTTAAAAAATGACGAATTTTGCAATTTTTGGTTTTTTCCTTTTTCGTAGATAGAGTATCAACCTTTGTAATCGTAAAATTCCAAAAATTATTATTTTTCAAGAGCTCTAGAAACAACGATTTTTGGGCAAAAACTCGAAGCGTGACTTTGACGTGCCGCCATCTTGTTGTTCTTTATTACGCAATCGTTCCCACGCGGCATTTGTCTTTTAGATGTGCCAAAGCCAAGAAATCTTGCACACTGAAAACCCTTTCTTTCGTGCAAGATACGAATAATAATCGGTCCAAGTTTCATTTCAATAGCTCTACTAGTTCTTCTGCAAAAATTTCCCAAAAAACAGCTACTTTGGGCCGTCCAAAAGTGAAAGACCCCTTTAACCCCTTGACGTATGATTTTTTTACCGACTGTACATCTAAGCGCCAGCTTTCATTGTTTTAGTACCGTATCAAGTAAGAAAAGCTAATGTGTTACAGATTAATCACATTTGATAATCCGCAGTCTTGTAAATTGATACGAAGGTTAGAATTAAAATTCACTTTTTCTTGCTAATACAACTGTTCCTGTCGCTCTCGACCAGAATCTGTACCGCGTGTCTGACTTGTTGCTATAAATCAAGGGGTTATTCAGCCCAACCATTTCCATCAATAAAAACGAAAACTTCGCACAAAACGCGATGCTCAGTCACCGTCTAACCACACGTCACTTTTACCTTCCTCAGGTGATGCCTCTCGAGAACAACATGAAAACGCCCACGCACTTCATCGGTTGCCCGGGCGTTCTTAACACCGGTATGTTCTTCGTGGTACTTCTCTACAGCACTACAGGTTTCTTCGGCTACTGGCGATACGGCGAGGATACGAAAGCTTCCATCACCTTGAACCCCGTGCAAAGCGACGTCTTGGCTCAAGCGGCTAAAGTGATGATCGCCGTCGCTATATTCCTCACGTACGGCCTTCAATTCTACGTCCCGATGGAGATCATCTGGAAGAATTTGAAGCAGTATTTCGGCTCGAGGAAACTTCTCGCCGAGTACACGATCCGTATCATAATGGTGATCTTCACGGTGGGCGTGGCTATAGCCATTCCAAATTTGGGCCCGTTCATCTCTCTGGTAGGCGCTGTATGCCTATCCACGTTGGGACTTATGTTCCCTTCCGTGATCGAGTTGGTCACAGTGTGGGAACAGGAGAACGGTTTGGGAACGTGTTACTGGAGGCTCTGGAAGAATTTAGCTATTATAGCGTTCGGTGTGCTCGGTTTCCTAACCGGCACATACGCGAGTATCTACGAGATCCTCGAGGAGGACAAATGAAGCACCGGGTTCGAAGGAGCTGCGGTGCGACGGAATAATCGCTCAGCGCGTACCACAGATGCCGGCGTGTTGTTGGACACCTTCCACGCTCTCGTCGAGCGGGCCCGTCTAGCGGGACGACGACGACGACGACCATAACCACCAGGAGGGTGATGCCGCCGCCGCTGGGCCAGCTAGCCAGCGCGCGAGGTCACGCGGCCACGCGAGCTCCGAACTTCTCAGCTTCGTCTCGCTCCTTCTCTTCATCACCTTTTTGTTTCTATATCTCTATCTCTATCTCTCCATGCATGAGACGCAGCACGACGACTGTAACGAACGACGAAAACGTCTCTATTACGCGTAGAATCAGGCCCCACGATTGACCCAGAGAATTTTTTTCTTCTTTTTTTTTCGTTTGTTTTATTCTATTCTTCTTTTTGTACGTTCTTCGATCTTGTTCTTCTTGTAAGAACGCAACCAGCGGCGAAGTTCGATCGTGTTACGACAATGAAAGGAGTTCGTGTATAGGAAAATAATCGTCGATGATGATGTACACTGCCGATTATGAGAATTTGTTCGAGTACTGGTTTTAGAGGAACTGTTTAAAGAAGTATTTTACCTTAGAGGAAAGGTCGTTAACTTTTCAGCTACGGTTATAGATACTTTTATAGATAATTTTAGGGTATTATGATAATTGAAATTTTATTAGTCGCATATCCACATTGTTCGTTTATAAATATTTATTCGGTCACTTTTTCGACTTCGTTCGGAGATATGACAGATTTTGGAAAGTATTCTTGTTTATAATATGGTAAAGATCGCTGATCATATGAAGATTTGGTTTTTTATTCTGATTAGGAGCATTCTTAAAACAAGACTGGCTAGGATGGAGGATATCTTAAATAAATCAACTCTCGAATAACGGATGACGTGATTGTTGCACGCAAGGAGGATGCCGGGTCGAATATGACCCAATGCTAAAATCTTCGTATGCAAGCGAAATTAAATTTTTTAAATTTTACTAGGCATTATATTATGATTAAAATAGCAAACATATTGATAATATAAGGAGAAGAGAGTCGTGACTCTATTTTGAATGTCGGTTTGATACAAGAGACATCTAAAGGCATCCGCCATCCGAAGGTTAATATGTAGATATTTAGAAGAGTATACATACTATAAAGTGTATAGTACACCTGTCGTAGCTAAAGGGTTAAACAAGTGAAATTTACAACCAGAATATTATCCAGAAGTACAAGTACATTGACGTACTATAATAATAACCATTTCTTCCATAAATGATCGATACTTATTGAGATAGTACATGCTTCAATTTTGTGTTCAATTGTTATGACAATAATATCGTAGGTAAAATTATTACGGTATACATACAGTGTAAAGGCTAGTTTTAGCTGCTCGTTTTCAACTATGGTAGTTCTAACACATTACGGACCGGCCAATTATTTTATAAACAATTACTCGGAATGCAAACTTTTTTATAAAGTTATGCTGGTAAAAATTGATTCGATCGGAATTTCTTCCTATATAATGGCTGGTTCTCAATGTGTTAACCAATTACTGTAACATAAGTATACACGAACTCCTTTCGAAGATAAATTCACCGTCAGCACTTCGTTTTCTCCTGTAATCGATGTAATACCTGTATCGCATAAAATACAGCTTGAGATTGTAGAAAGCACGATTGATCTTCGCCGACCTACGTCAGAGTCGTCGCCGCTGACGCGCCGTACGCCTTACGCTAAATGTACGGTAAGAACCATTAACGTCGTATGTTACACGCTGCGCAGGTTTTTCGAACTTCTGGCTCACATGTAGTAATTAATCGTTGAACGACTTTACAAGAGATCGTAAAGCGGGATTTGAAAGTTCCTGCTTTCCATTCGACATTTCCCAAATTTCATTCTTTAATTTTTCAAACTTATAAAATTTCCAAATTTCGAATTTTGGAATTTCCAATTTGCAAATTTTAAATTTCCGAATTTCCCTCTTTCAAATTCCATAACTTTCAAAATTTCAGATTCTCAAATTCCATACACACAAGTTTCAGGTTTCGAATTCTTAAATTTCACACTTCAATTTTTCGAAAGTTCCGTACGACGTTAATGGCGTTTACCGCGCATCGCGATATGTTCGAGCGATTAACCAAGCAAATTGAACGTGGTTCGGAGTACCCGGATTCAGGATGTCCGTGGATCCAAGACGCGCGGGATTCGTGCGAATTGCTAAGACAAGTATCAAGGACGTGGATAGAGGCGCCCTTTTCCCCTTTCCCTCTCTCCCTCCCTTCTATTTTCTCTCTCTTTTCTCTCTCTATCTCACTCTCTTTTATTATTTATTCGCGTTGCGTCGACCGTACGCACGACGAAGCTTTTCCATCGACTTCACACAACTGCGGGACGGTTTTTCTCATCTTTTTTTTTTGTTTTTAGTAGCTTACGTACACACTATGTACGGGTATAGATACGTAAATTATACTTAAGTGTCGTTTTTACCTATGAACAAGGACCGTTCGCGTTTTTTTTTTTTTGTTCTTTGGCTTTAACGTGCGTTCGTTCGTTCAATTTCGCCGCGACAAGAGAGCGATCTTGTAAGATAAGAGGTTTCCGAGGCCGATCGTCGATCGATTCGTTTTTGTACACAAAATGGAAATTCATTATACCTGGTAATGATAACGTTATCATTGGCAGTAATTTAAAATGAAATGTTCTCGTTGATAATTCTATTTGAGAATACTTTTGCAATTGGAATTGAAATTTAGACATAAAAATGCATGAAACTTGAACAGTTGGAAACAAAATTTGAGGAGAGTTTGTTAATTAGAACGAAAAATTTTTGCTAAAATTTTATTCCATCGAATTGGAAATTTAAAGAAAACTTTACCCGTTTAAGTGAAAAATTCCTTCATCTTTTAAATTTTACGATAAAACTAGGTAATTGTAGCTATTAATAACAATTGACAATACTGTATCGAAAGTGGCGTTCGCGTTTTTTACAGAAATAGATAGTTGATCGACGCAACACCACCGGAAACCACCGATCTGTTCCTAGTGCACATTGCACAAAAAAAAAGAGACGAAAGAAAACGTACAAAAATGGTTACTAATTAAGAGTAAGAGGCAGAGATGGCATGTAGGTGTGATAATGTCGCGATGTGCAAGCTTGCTAGTCTGTAAGAAGTTTAGCGAGAGACACCGACGTCGTCGTGTGTCGCCGCGTGAGATTAGAACCGCTAATTGGACCTTTGACTTGACACCGGAAAGATCGAGTCCGAATCAGCCGAAAGGCGCATATTCACCAACGAGAAACTTGAACAACGTGTACAGAATGAACGACAAATTTGTCGAAAGGTGTCAAAAAAAAAAAAGAAAAAAAGAAAAAGAAAAGCCTTACAATATGTACGCTCAGCAATGAAAATTTCATGAAATTGTTCGAAAAGAATCAGCTTCGTTCGTCGTCGAATCGTTAGAGTTGGACAAACCTATTTTCGAGACAATAAGTAAACTGAAAATATACATTAACGAAAATAAGAGAAGCCGATATTCTCAAGGAATAGTACAAAGCCTAAATAAGATTCGTAAGAGTGAATAAATTTCACGTGTATTTGGATTGGACTTTAAATTGTAAGATTCATCGATCATCAGTGGATTAAAATATGAGATCGGTTCGATCGCGATGATCGACAGTGTAGGATCTCGATGAAGTAAAGATGCTAATTTCGACCTTCGTTCGAGCTTTACATTCTCCAAGAGCTATTTCTATCGGAGAGTAATACGCTTCGCGATGCGCGTTACGTGGCGATAGGTCGCAAGTGCGCGCGATTGATCTTCGTTTCGACTATTTTCGGTCATCATCCGAGCGATCCTTATCGTTCACGCTTTGAGCACGCGCAATACAGGTTTTTAGTGCCTTGGTTCTTTCGCCTCACGGAAATTGTAGGATTTAAGGTTGGTGTTTGTAGAGGGTGTGTCGTTAAAACTATTACGCGTCGATATTCCTAAAAATGTGAAAAGATAAGAATTTCCTGCACAATTGGTTACGTTACATTTCACACAAGGTCACTTTTTTTTTTTTTTTACTTACTTTAAAAGAATTCTTGAATTCTTGCAGCAGAGTTGAAATAATTCTGTTTGAACTGAAATGTAAAGTATCGTTTCAGAATTAAATAATAGTATTGAATTTATTTTTTATACTTTTTTAAATCGATACCAGCGTGTGATAATTTTCATGATACACCTTGTGTATATTAAGCGACAAGATGCAGATCTGGTCACTTAATGTTTCTTCGATATTTCGACGATTTTTTCACCGCCACAGCGTATTTTGTACGAGAACGTAAAATGACGTAGAAAGACACACAAAGTCCATCGAGAAGACAATAACCAATGCACGGTAGTTATTGCCATTTTGGTAAGATGTCGTTCTCAAGTGTACGCGTTTCACCGAGAACGAGGTAGAAGCAAAAAATTGTTCCTCTTCTTTCGAGCCGCAGAAAATACTGCTGAGTTTCGCCGAGCTTCATCCATATTTCACCATACTCTGTACTCGTCCATTATTCTTTTCTATCAAGATACTTTTTTTTTTTTAATATATATATATATATGTATACATGTGTACAATATTTTGTACGCGAAGCCAGACACACTACCACACAGATACACACGGATAGTTCAGGATAGATTATTATACGATGATTTTTAGGATTCAGAAAATCTCAATGAAATTAAAAGATTCTGTTGATTTAGAGAATCGCGATTTATGAGACGTATTTAAGAGACGAAAAATAAAGATGCAATGCCGTTTCGCCGCTTTTTTACTTCGGATTTCCACGATGAATCGCGCGTCTATGTATGTGGCAATGGTTGCCGCGCAGAGGATGTCGTTTCACGTGCATGCGTGTTCCGTGCACGCCGTCAATTTTTGTCAGTCATTGTACCAAACAATGTTATGGATATTTAATACACAAAGAATCGATTTGCAAAAGACTACAGTGTTATTTCGTACCCCAGCGTCCTTCATCCATTATCCTAGAGCTAATGAACTTTTTCACCGCCGGGGGCAGCACACTCCCCACCATCAGTCAGTGCGTTCTATACGAGAGTGAGAGGTACTACATGTGGCTTTACGAACCGCCAGTTCGTTACAAGAATAAGATAAGTACTCCGAAGTTAAATAATTATGGAGGGGATTATTTCCCTACGGCTCTGTAGAGGCAACAAGCAAGTTCGTCAGCCATGCTTTATTCTATTGTAAAGTTATATACTTTGAAAGTTTGATTTTTCACGTGTCATAGAGTTTTAAGAACTATTTTCAGAACTTGATTCTTACGTAACGCAGTACTTTAAGAATTCAATTGATACGCGATACAGTGCTTCGAGTATTTTCAGTCCTCAATGTTGAAGTACTATTTTTAGGAAAATAAAGGAAAATTACAGTACCTAGAAAATCTAGAAAACGTCTATTTGAATTATACCGTAGAAAGCAGTAAATCTGTTTCAAAAGTATTTCAGTGGTAGTAACTCAAGAGCTTTCCTATTGTACTTGGAGTAAAATTTCCACGATGTAATTAAGTAGAAAATCTCTCGAGAAAGAATGCTTCGTCAAAGCGTATTAATTTCATTCTACGACGAACACAAGACACCAAGATGAAATGGCGGGAATTCTTCGAATTAATGAAATAAAACGGAAAGTAACGTTATCATTCGTGAAAATTTCCACGGTCGGTACTGTTGTCACTATACAAAGCACTCTCCTTCCCCGTTAGCTTGCTAAATCTAAAACGTAGCAATAAACGTGCAACAGGAAGCACCACAATTGATAACGTTAATCATTTTTACGGCGTATAAAAAACATTTAGATTACACTTAATTGCATTTGACTCGTACATCTGGAAAATACCTTGCAGGAAAGAAAAAAATACAATAGGAAAAATTGAGATAGAAACACGGGAAATTTTCCATTACTAGTAATTTTTGCTATGCGTACAGTGTTTCGTAATAATAGCTTTTACACGCTGTATCATATAAGAAGATAAAAATTTTGATTAGGTTTCTTGTAAGTTATAGGTATGTTATAAACGATAAAATGAATGAAACACATTTTAAAAGTTCAATATTCGTGTGCATATACGTATGTATATGTATGTATGCATATAAGGGAACGTAAAGTAGTAAAAATAAAATTCATCCAAATTAATAACTTTACTCATTATTGCATCATGTTATTAGAATGTGGCTTCATCGTACTTGTTCCAATATTTATATACGTAAATCTTAATTAAACATTAAATGAACAATGATTCATATCCGTATACATTGCGCAAGATATCCATCTTCACTTTTTCCTTATCTCTGTTAAATTCTATATCCATAGGAGGTAAGAAGTTACGGATATTTTATATTCCAATATATTAATTTGTAATGTCTTTACTATCTATAAAATGAAATAAATAAAAAAATAAAATGAATAAATATTATACATTTTTCAAAAGTATTAAATAAAAATTATTATAAAGTATAGCCTTAGTTATTCGAAATTGTATTCTTCTTGAATTTATGATGTATTTACAAATGCAATATCGTAATTTTAACAAAATATTTTTTTATTATTCAGAACAGTTTGAAGAACGAAAACTACCGGAACAATACTTACAAACTTGGCTTAAGGTTTGCCTTTGGGACGTGACGGAAGTAAAATGGCTGAAATAACGGCGAGAGTCTGCTGTTGTGACAGAACATCATACAACTTGAATATTATCAAATAAACGAGTTGATAATCCGTTTTAAATACATTAAATACATATTAGTCGTTTTCATATAAACACTCAACCGGACATAACCATGTTGAACGACGTACCAAAACGATTAACACGAAGCTCCGAAACAACTGAGGTACGTTGACGTAAACAATCATATCTTTCGATAAAAGTATAAACAAATGGTCAAAGATCATCAGATGAAAATACTAAAATAGGGCATTTTCATTCATTTACAATATATTGTTGTCTTACTATAATATATCAATAATGAAGTATGCGATATGCCACTTAACTTCCGTGAATTTTTCCACTATACCTATCACATTCCACGATGTCCACGTTGTACATTGTTTTGTTGCTATTGATATTTGAAATTTTATCATTTTTTACAACAGACAATATATTTATTTACTTAGCTATTTGCTGTTTTTCATACACCATTGTCCTAAATACTCCAATATAGAAATACCTATATGATTTTCGCGTCAAGTTGAATGAAAATAAAAACATATTAAAAATGTTTTCAGGCTGATGTACGCGAAGATGAGGAACAGACGAAGAGATTTCAAGATATTATCGATTTACTTGTCGCAGCAGGGTATTTTCGAGCGAGGATAAAGGGGTTGTCAAATTTTGATAAGGTACATACGAAACAAATCGACTTAGACGAAGACATCGAGACTAATATCTGTTACCGTAATATTTAGGTAATCGGTGGAATGACCTGGTGCATAGAATCGTGTAATTTCGATATAGATATCGATTTACTTTTCTGTGAAAATCTTACTATAGGCCAAAAAATGTAAGTAAATGTATGAAATATTTCAAATGTTCAATGTCTCATATATTTATGTACTACAGATCTTTAACTGAGAAAATCGTGGTCATGCTACTAAAAATGAATTGTCCACATAGAATAGAACCACATCAAATTCAAGGTTTAGATTGCATTCATATTTTTCCTGTCATCCAGGTAACTACCTCATTTTTCTAATTCTTGTTTATTATTATTCACTATCATTTTAATAACCAATAATAATAAATTTCAGTGGCTGGTAAAACGTTCAATGGAAACTCGAGAGGAAACGGCAGATTTCGTACGATCGTTTGCTTTAAATCAATTTCATAAAAAGCATTCTTTTGCCGAAGATGCTGGTACAACGCAAACAGTCAAAGAAAACCTAACTAAAAACATTCAGCTGGTCAAAGTAAAACTCGTTACTGTGCTTAACTGTCTATTTCAGTAATTATAATGTCCCAAATAATTAAAGTTATGCTTCCTTTTAGAAATCATACGAACCACGACGTATTTTTAAACATAAAGATGGTTCTATCAGGGACGAAGTTAGTAGATTTTTTGGTACTGTTCTGGAATATGAAGCGCCTTTATATTCTACAAAAATTGCAGCTTCCCTAACGGAAACATCTTCGAGTGACGTTAACGAAAACGAGAGTAAAGAAGAACTAAGGGAAAAGGTGAACGATATATTGAAATCACTTAAATCTAATTCATTTTTTAAAATGAAAATTGTCATATTTAATAATTTTTAATCATATGGTTTTCCTACAGGAAAGTACGGAACAATTAACAGGGAACTTAGCTGCCATTGAAGATAGCTCGGTAAATAATTACGTTATTATTGCTATTAATATTAAATAAATATTCACTATTTCAAATTTATGTAGGCTCGTTTAAGTGTAGCAGCAGTAGACAACATTGTTGGCATACAAGCTCAAGAAATTGCCAAAATAACCGAGAAATATGCAACAATGTCGACTTCTGAATCCGAGGTAATTTTTTCACTTTGAAACTTAGGCAAATAAATATCCATTAATAATCTAGCTTCGTTACAATTCATAACTGCAATTAATGTATTAATCATCGCAGGAAATTGGAGGCGCTTGTTCAACAACACTAACCGCATTACAGAAACAGAGGACTGCGCTTAAAAATCGACTTCGTAAATTAATAAAAGAAAGAGATGCTTTATCCGCTAAGCATTCAGAATTGACTGAAAAACTAAACGAATCTAATACAAAACGACAAGCTATCGAGCGGTCATTGAAAAAGGCACAAGAACTAGGAATTAACGAAAACGACAGGTACTTATCCTTTTAGTATGCCTTATCCCTTTATATAATTAAAAAGTTACAATTGAAAATTGTAAAGGTTGTAAAAAAGTTGAAAGAATTCCATTTTTGTTACTTGTTTAGCGTCTACAAACGCCTAGAACAACTCCTTTTGGTGCATGACGGTTTGAAGGAACAGGAACACAATTTCCGGGAACAGTGTAAATCCGATTTAAATCTTCTAAAAGGTAAATTGCAAGGAACTGAAAGTAGTACTTCGGAAGAGGAAGAGGACCGTTTGAAGGAGTATGAGCAACAAAAGGAGGCGGTCACAAAGGCTAGATTGCAATTAGCCAAAAAGAACAGGGCTATCGCGTCCTTAACCAGACAATTGGACGATGTTCCTGGTCGTTCGGAACTTACGCAATATCAAAGGCGATTTATGGAACTGTATAATCAAGGTTCGCCGATCTATTTTTACACATCGGCACTCGCTTACTCATCACGCGAGTCAAGCGTTGTTTTATCGTTCTGAATTGCAGTTTCGGGAAAGCACAAAGAAACAAAACAATATTACACGTTGTACAATACCCTCGACGATACGAAACTTTATTTAAGCAAGGAATTATCATTACTGAATTCGATCCAAGATAATTATAATGAGTGAGTAGTTGGTAAACTTTATGTTTACGCTCGTTATGCAGTGATAACAAATGTTTGATTCCTTCCTTTTTTACAACTGTTTTCGCCAGAGCAATGGCATCGACAAGCGGCAAAGAACAATTTCTTAAGCAATTCGAGGCGATCGTTTCGGGCGTTAAGCGTAATAAAGCAAAGGTAAAAAAAAACATTTTCTTGAATACGACAAATTTTTGTAATTTATTTTTGTAATTTATTTTATAATTTATATAACTTTCTAACTATTATGGGTATATAATGATGTTTAATTTCACTTAAGACTAAAAAAGAAAGTTATTTAATTTTATAATAGTTGATAAATTGACCAATCTAAAAATCAACCAAAGTGACTATAAAATCTGTCATAAAAACATCAATAAAATACACAAGGCACTGGTATGTTTTGATAAGACGATCATGTTTCATGTAGGTGGAGAGACGATGTGCCGACGAGAAAAACAGGAGGGATGCACTCAGTCTGGAACTGGTCACTCTGATAGAACAACAACGCAAATACGTCGCTGCGGTCAGACAACTCACTATTGAATGTCGTAAAAATGAGGCCTTGCTCGCGCAACTGCGTGGTCCGTAAATACAGACTTCATTTCCGCTTATCTGAAAACGTATCGGATCCTCGTATTTTTGCCTCGCGATTGTTTGTTTCGCCAAGGAGCATTAACGTTACGTTGAAATTGTGTTGAAGAAATGTATGCGTCAATCGAACAAAACAATAACGCTTAATGTTGAGAGCAAGACTGCGAGGTGGCGGTGGCTTCTATTTATATTCACTTCATGTATACATATATGTACATACCATTAATACACGTCAAATATTCCTGCTCTTTTAGATACATATACGAGAGGGTAACTGGCGTTGTGGAATTAAAGAATGTTATTTGAAGTGGGACCGTTCCTTTTCACCCTTGTAACTGTTAATTTTCTATCTGAATACCATATACATATGAACTCGCTAAAAATGTAGCTTTTTATTTACCTTCCGTCTGTTATTCATATTTATTAATCTTCGTACGAACATTCAGTTCTGACGTACGGACAGATTCGCGTCAAAAATTAATTAACGTGATTTCAAACTTGAAGGTATATTTAAAAAAAATATTCGTACTATTATCAATGCAAGAGCAGCACAATTTAAAATAGTCAACTGCCAAAATAACATGACGTATGTGTTAGCCGTAGAGTATAGATGAACGGTGTATAATATATGCACACCTTGGGACAGCAATTTTAGTCCGATAATAGATTGCAACTTACTGTTTTCCCTTTCACGCTCGACAAGTCGGTGTTTTCCTCGTTGTACCGTCAGAGCCCTCTTCGTTCGTTACTTTATATTGGCTATCGCCATTGTTCCTCTCACAGTGCTTATGTGTTCACGTGTTTTCTCCGTCTGGCTGTGGATCTATCGTAGCCATTATCGGTGTACGGTGATCAGTGATCTCTTTGTTAACGTTTGTTAGGATGTAGCAGGTATCCAGCGCTACGCTTTGTAACCATACACGTAATATGACAATCGCATCAGGTGGAAGAACTATCCGTTCGAACCTGTTCCTTTCAAATTAAAGGAACATGTGCTATCTACACGGTGACTATTAATGTGATTCATATGAGAGAAATATTGCGCGTAAGATGGCTAAAGACGAAGGAGACGACCTCTTACCGGACAAGGACGCGGCCAAGGGATTTTATGCGAAATATGAACCCAAAGAAATCCTTGGAAGGTTCGTCACGTGATATTACAATGGAAAAAATATATAACGTACTATTTTTAATTGTTCAGCGAATACGCGTATATGATAGATATGTTCGTGTTTGTATTATTAGATCCTGGTGCATTGCAATCACAATAAATAAATCGTGGAATTCGTTACCTCGGACTAACGACAAACTAACCTGTACAATTATATAATTCGACCAAGTAAAATACATCTACAAAAACCTACAATAGTTTTCCTGATATCAATAGTATAACGAAGCTTGAAAAACTTTGAAAAGATAACATGACGTACAAAACAGATTACCGACAAAACGCTATACAAAAATGAGAGGTTTCTTTCTGTCAAACGTTAATCCTTTTTGCGTTGTTTTAAAAAATGTATTCCTTACTTCTTTACATCAGTTAAAATATAATGTGAAATATTATCTTAATGTTATAAATGTATTGAAATTATACAAAAATACATTTATATATTACGATTGTTATTTGAAAGATATTTATACAACGATAACTCGATTACAAAAATTTCACTTTACACAAATAAACACGAAATAACATTGTAATAATACATGCATGTGTATTTCGTCACATTTGTAAATTTTATCTTTGAAACTATCATTATCTGCAAAGAATTTCAATTAAAATTAATTCAGTAAAACATTAATGTTCTTATAACAAGCGATAAATGAATGTTTTTAATATTGATTTAAAAATTATTATTAATTACAGAGGAATATCTTCTACTGTAAGAAGATGTATAGAAAAAGAAACAGGTATAGAATATGCAGCTAAAATCATAGATATTAGTAATGAAACTAATGAGGATGGACATACTATGAAAGATGCTACATTACAGGAAGTACAAATTCTCCGTAGAGTAGCTGGCCATTCTTACATTAGTAAGTTCCTAATTTTTAAAGTAAAATGAAACTTTAATTGTCTGAGAAAAACAATAATCTTTCTTTTTGCAGTTGAACTACATGATGTCTTTGAATCTAGTACATTCATATTTTTAATTTTTGAAATTTGTAAAAATGGTGAACTATTTGACTACCTCACATCTGTTGTTACTCTCTCTGAAAAAAAGACACGTTATATCATGAGACAAGTTTTTGAAGGAGTTCAGCATATACATAATCAGGGAATAGTGCATAGAGATTTAAAACCAGAAAATATACTACTTGATGATAATTTAAATGTGAAAATAACTGATTTTGGATTTGCTAGACTATTGAAAATAGGAGATAAGTTATATGGTATGTAATTACTTTATAAAAAATGATTACATAATAATATTGTGTAATTGATAACAATTATAATTAACATTTCTTTATAGATCTTTGTGGTACTCCTGGATATTTAGCACCAGAGGTGCTTAAATGTAATATGTTTGAAAATGCAGATGGTTACGGTTATGAAGTTGATGTGTAAGTTGATAAAATTTTATATACGTAATACATAAATATAATTATGTTATATTTTAATAATTAACAACTATCTTAATGGATGGGAAAATAAATATTAGTATTTATTTTCTTTTAGATGGGCTTGTGGTGTAATTATGTTTACTTTGTTAGTTGGTTGTCCACCTTTTTGGCATAGAAAGCAGATGGTTATGCTTAGAAATATTATGGAAGGAAAATACTCATTTACATCTCCTGAATGGGCAGACATAACAGGTAATTGCAATTACTTGTTTTAAAAAATTAACTTTTTTTTATAATAAATAACAATTTGTTTGAAGAAAGTAGAAAAATATTGTTTCTTAAAACATGGCATGCAGAGTAAATTTGTGCTTGATTAACATAATGCATGTGTTTGTATGCATCATTTTCAGAGAGTTTTGTTTTAATTTTAGTTATTGAAAAGATAAACACTATTGGACATATAGTAAAAGATGAAAGAAATATGGAAACGATATTGCTCCACTTCAGCAATAAAAATGCATATAAAATTCTATTAAATTTCTTTATGCAATA